CCAAGAGGTACCTTAAGGGGTAGCTTGAGAAACAGAGGGTGAGACAGGCAGGGAGGAGTGGACCCGACTCCAGGGTCCCAGCAGTTTCACTTTAATCTGCTTTATGTCAACTTCTGCGTAAAATCTCATTTTAAAAAAGGGTTCCCTTGCTTTAAAAACTTTGAAAACCACTGATGTCTCTTATTAAGAAGAGATCAACAATTAGACCCCTCACTCCCTTAAGCCACCAAAAGAGTGCCAGGCACCTTTTAACTTCATCACAGAGGTAAGATGTGAGAAGTGTTCCCTATCAACATGACAAGGCTCTGTTATTAATCATTCATTGAACAGTGAGTCACAGTTAAAATCCCCCTGCCCTGAGTGCAAAAGACTGAAGGGGAATTTTACTTACCACAACCAAGAGCATCCCCGGGTCTCAGGGGGCATTCCCACGAGAGCTGTGTGACCAGAGTTCCTATTTATGTCAAATCAGGCTTTTGTCTAATGAACATCTATCAAGAGATGAGCAACCAGGGTGGGAGTATTAAATAAGTGATGGCCACAGTTCAGCAATGTTTTTTTCTTTATTTTATTTTGCTTTTTTTTTTTTTTTAATCACCATTTATCCCCCCTATACCCTCTCCCACCTCCACCCATCCCTAGTGCCTTGCAATCACCACTGTTGTCCATGAGCTCTCTCTCTCGCTCTCTCTCTCTCTCTGCTCAATGTTTTGAATATATTGAATTTTGGTCTAGCACTTCACCGTCCAATATGGTAGCTACTAGCTATTTAAATGTAAATATATTCAAATTAAATAAAATTTTAAATTCAGATCCTCAGTCATACTAGCCACATTTTGTGTACTCAATACCTACATGTGGCTAATGGCTGCTACACTGAACAGTGAGACTGGGAATGTTCTTTAACATTTCCATCAGAAAGTTCTATTGGACAGTGCTAAAGTCACCCAATCTAATTCTTTTTTAAAAATATATCTTTATTGATTTCAGAGAGAGAAAGGGAGAGGGAGAGAGAGTTGAAACATCAATGATGAGAGCATTTGGCATCTGCCCTGACAGGGAATCGAACCTCAATCTCCTGGATCCTAGGTCGACGCTCAACAACTGAGCCACGTCCTGCCAGGCCACCCAATCTAATTCTTAATTACCCATTTGGCCAACCTGGGCTCCTCATCAGTCCTTGCACTGGTAGCTCCCTCCATGGACAACCCTTCCACCCCCCAAAGTTTCCCTTTCCCATTCCTCCTGGCCCTGGGATTCCTGGAGCAGTGAATTTGGAAGACGCTGAATGAATGTGTAAATGAGCTTACATGATTTTGCAAGCATTTTCTAAAGTATGCCTTTATTCTCACTTTGGTATCTTGTTTGTCTCGTGTCTGACCTGCCCAGCCTTCACTAGCAGAGGTAACAGATAGGGTTAACTTTTCTTAAAAATTTTATGAATATTCCAGTAGAGATCCTTGACTTTTACATACTAAAATTCAGGCCGGGATCTGGGATCTTATACTGTTACATAGGAAGTGTTTAATATAAATACACATTAGAAACAGAATTTAAGAGTTGAAACGATCTTAGAAATCATCTTTTTTGACAGCTTTGCTTTTCACAAAGAAGAATATGGGATTCAGAGAAGTTCAGTGACTTGCCTAAGAACACACAGTGATTCAGCACACACAGGAACCCAGGTCATCTGGTGTCCACTGTAGGTTTTTCTCACTGTCAGCATTAAGAGATCTCATTGCTGGCTTCCTCAGTACCCTACAACAATTTGTGCCTCCTACATAGTAAGACACCCCTAGGGCCTCATTGTAGTCTCCCATTCCACTATCACTTTCTGAGTGACTCTTGAGTGTTTTATAGTTTCAAGCATGTTCTAAAAAATTCTTCCCAAGAGGCAGTTTCCCTAAAATTGTCCCTTGAACATCACACTGTAAAAGTCACCCTTAGTAGTAAAGGGAAATAAGAACCGTTCCCATCTAGACTGAAGAGCCTTCGTGCAGGTATAGTTTCAGCATTGCAGCCAAACGTCAGAAGCACGCTTCACTATAGCTTAACTTTCCAGGTATGTTTCTCACAGGCATGGGTTTTGTGATTTTTATATCCCCATAGTGTTGAACATATTATCCTTGCAGTATGGGCCTCAGCTGTTACCTCTCAAGTGGGAATTAGATTGAAAGACATGATCTAGAAGACTGGACATAGTTGTGATAATTAGAACTCCAGATTCTCTTTCTGCTTATATTCTAGAACAAAAGTCAGCAGACTGTGACCTGTGGGGCCAAATCTGGCCCACTGTTTTTGTAAATAAAGTTTTATTGGACACAGCCACATTCATTTGTTTATGTATTTTCTACAGCTGCTTCACGCTATAATAGCAGAGTTGAGGACAGTAGTTGCAACAGAAATCGTATAGCTCATAAAGCTATTTTTTCTGGTCCTTTGCAGAAAAAATTTGCTGACGCCTGGTCCAGAGTCACAGCAGATAAACCACTTTCCAAATCCTGATTGCTATTTACTTCCAAGTGATGCCTATGAGGTGGGAAAAGGTCCAAATCCAGAAATATCTTGCCAAACCAAAACCATTACCATAGCAAATTACAGCTTTTTCCTTTTAAAACCAATGTGCTTATCAATAGGGAATATATATATGTACATATATATATGTATACGGATATATATATGTACATATAATTATCTAAAGGGTGATCAGGATTGTCACAGCAGGAATGCAAAAAGNATGTACGTATAATTATCTAAAGGGTGATCAGGATTGTCACAGCAGGAATGCAAAAAGAAAGAATTAGTTGACATTTGCTTCTGACATCTTGTTTTCTAGCAAGACAATATTTTTCGGTAGTCCTGTTTTGTTGAGAAAGGATTTTCTAAATTTCTTTATTTCTTCTTGAAATTATTATCNGAAAGAAATAGTTGACATTTGCTTCTGACATCTTGTTTTCTAGCAAGACAATATTTTTCGGTAGTCCTGTTTTGTTGAGAAAGGATTTTCTAAATTTCTTTATTTCTTCTTGAAATTATTATCATAGTGTTCCTCACAAGGCACACCCTAATCAAACAGTAAGAGAAAGAAGACAAAGTCCACCTTTTCTGACCCTAGATTGTGGGGATTATGGGAAGAAGGAAAGCAGGAATCCAAACGTGTCTCAATCCCTCCTTTCTGAGCCAAAATGATGGATAAGAGTGTGGACCCGAGTCGGAGTGCCTGGGCAATGTTAAGCTGTGTTTCTGTTTCCTGATCTGTAAAGCAGAGTAATAGTATTACCTACATTGCAGAATTGTTATGAGAACTAAGTAAGTGAGCGGTACTAAAGTGCTTAGAATAGTGCTTATTACGAAGCGGCACTGTTCTGGGGGATGGGAGTGGTGGGCATTGCTGGTGGATTTTGAAGGAATGCTGAGAGCAGGCTCAACATCTCTCTTCCACTTTGGAGTCTGGAAGATCGACTCAAAGGCTGCCCCTGCACCAACCTGGAACAGCCACATCAAAGAAAACTCTTTACCAGAAGTGGGGCTGAGCTCGACTTTCTCAGCAGTTCTCAGTCCCCATGTACCTTAAGAGAAAGAGGAGGATTAGCCGAGGGTCTGATAGGAGAGTTTTCAGAGGGGATTACCTGAGAGGGTGGGCCACTGAGCTGGTACCACTGGGATGGGAGCACATCTCAGGATGGTCCACATCACCATGGGAGCCAACATAGGGCAGAGTCAACAAGGGAGCCCCCTGGGTCCTTAAGAGCAAACAGAGAATGTATATTGAGTTATCCTGGCCACAGACATCAGCCACCAAGGCCAGCAGAAGACCCAGGAGCAGGCTGAGCACTCAATTCAGGGGCAGCCCAGCCCTGCCCAGCAGCTCCACAGCAGAAACTTCCAGAGACGGACAGGCCACAGGGTACATCCGAGAGCCACCACCTCTCCATCACCAAGCATACATAAAACACACCCCTCTTCTGTGCCCCTAGATGCCACCTTTGGGGGAGATGGGTGGAAATCTGAAAGACTGACCATTCTATTGAAACGGAACTGTTTACCACTTAAGTTAGTTTAGACTGAAATATAGTCCATCCCTCCTCTCACCACTTGTCCGGTAGGGTGGGGATTTATAAAAACATTATATCACTTGATAGATATAAAGAAATTTCCTCTCTTTTTACATTTGAATGTGGTGAGAGTAAATGTGTGACTTCGCTCCTCTTCCGCCCACCTTTAAAGTCTGAATTGGGTGACTCCCCTCCAACACCACCCCCCTCGTGACCTCAGGGACGTGCCCATATCCACACAGACACAAGCTGCTGTCTAAAACCAGCTTCAGGAACAAGCCACAAGAATTTGAGGCTCTGAGGTAAACAACAGAAAGAACACCTTTCCAAAACAACCTCACTTCTGGTAACTTTCTTTTAAAAGCAGGGACAATGCAACTACTTGCATGAACAGTTTGAAGGTATAACTTTCCCCTGCTCTCTTTCTGGCTAATCACGGAAGAAAATGAGAGCATCGACCTCCCTGCCAATAACAATGTGCTGTTTATTTACTTTGTAGAAAAAGGCTTATGCTTTGGGGCCTATTAGGTAAACTACAATTAAAAAAAAATTTTTTTTTTAAGATAGAGGGAACATAAGAAAGAACAACAGAAGTCCCTAGGCCTGAGTGTTGGGAATACGCCAGAGGCCACCCGTGCTCAGGAACCCTACTCGGCTCCACCACTGTGAAGTCAGATAGTATCCTCAAGCTGTTTTTCAAGTTCCTAGCTCAAAGCAGGCTGGGTGACCTCGGATGGCTCCCCTGGGACTGGAGGAGCATTGGGGCCACTGGAGAAAATGATGCTGTCACTCCAATTCAAAAGGCCACCTATCAATGTGCCACATGCCACCGTTGGAGTGCTGTGGTCGCTCGCTCTCGCTCTCGCTCTCCCTCTCTTGCACGTGTCTGCGTGTGTACACTTCTCCCAGGGGCTGAGGCCAGGCCAGGCATCCCACATCGGGTGGATGAATAGCAGGTCTGTCCTGCCAGCTGCGTGCTCTCTCCCACCCAAAGGAAGCAGTGGAGACTCAGACAGCAAAGCCTGGAGTAGCCCACGCAGTCTGTCCCGGGCACTGAAAAGACACTTGGGGGAAGCAAGATGGAATCAGAGACAGAAACCATCGACCTTCAAGTAAGTTCTCTCTGAGAGAGAGGAGAGTGGAGACGGGAGCTGGGGTGAAGTTGGGGGAAGAAAGGATTAATATATTGGTCACTTGATATTCTCCCCCCTTTCCCAGTTCTCTTTTTTACTTCCCTTCTCCAAATGCTCTATCTCTGTATTTTCTCTTTCTCTCCGTTTCCCTGCCTGGTTCTTCACTTGTTTTTAAATATGTGAGAAACGGATTGTTTAAATCTCTCTGGGCCTCTGCTTCCTTTTGTCAGTCAAAGAGCTAATTAGATTCATGTTACCAGAAAATGATTTCACATTCTGTGCGGCGCTTTTCCCCAAACCCCGGGACAGCAGAGAGTTATTTGAGAGCTACCAGGCAGTTCTCTGGAGACAAGGAAAGATATGAGTTTTGGGATTAGGAAGAAAGGCAGCTGGCCAGCTTTGCATTTTACAGGTTGGAAAAAAACCGGAGTCATTTCTTGGCTCTCTCCACAAAGCTCTGCTGTGTAGGACAGAGTCTCAATCGGACAGTGCAGGGAAAGAACATCAGTATAGTCTACTAGGAGGAGGCAGAGGCATGTGTCCCTCCCTCCCTGGGATAGGCTTGTGGGGCATCAGAGGTTCCAGTCTATCACCGTAGGGGAGGGAATGGGGTGCTCTGGTGAGAGGAGAGGAGGGTCGCAGGAGTCAGCACTCTCCTACTCTGTTTATTGAATAGATCTGAGCCAACCCTTCTTGAGTGATCAACAGTAGTTGTATGATAAATTCTCATAGTGTCTGACAATTAGAGTGTGGAAAGACAATTGAGATCAAGAATTTTTGGTCACGGAGTATATTCTTTAAACAAAATCTTAAGCAGCACCCTAATATATGCTTCAGATTCAGGAGGAGCAGCTGTGTGTTGGGCAGAGTGGGAGCCTGGCAGAGCCTCTGTCCCTGACCTCCCCCCAACCCCTGAGACACAACCAGGGAAGTTCTAGCATTACCTGGAATTCTGTGTCAAAACCATTGATCTAGTGCAACCACATGCCAGTGTCATTTTCCTTGATTGTCATCTAGCCCCAAACGTGGACCCACCTCAGGGCTTGCTGGTCCCTCTGCCTGGAATCCTCTGTTCTTTGTCTCCCAGTACATTCAGGTCTTGGCTCAAATGTTACTGCCTCGAGGAGACTCTCCCCGCACCCTCTCTATAGGAATCCTCCTCTCAATTTGACTTTAGCATTTACTTTATTTCTCCCCCAGCACTGCTCACTTTTTGAAGTTACATTGTTTGATGATTGATTACTTATTATAATCTCACTAGAACAGGAACTCCGCTAGAGCAGGATCTCCTCTGTTTTATTCATTGCTGTATCTCCAGTGCCCAAGGCTAGTGCTTGGTATGCAGTAACTGCTCAGAAAATATTTGTTTAATGAATGAGTTAAGGAAACCCTGAGTTAGCTAGATCACGGGTAGACATAAGGTCACTCAACTGGAACAGGACTGAGTCAGGACTCCAGCCCAGGTCTTCTGATGCTTCATCTAGCTCTTGCTTCCATTGCATCCATAGCAGCTAAGGGAACAGTATTGCTCATTTTCAGTCTCTGAAGAACAAGTTTCTCATGTGCTGATGGACTGAACAATCCTGAGTTACAGGGTAAGGGCTCAGCATTTGAAAGGTTCAGAAAGAAAGAGGAAGGTCGGGCTAAGGACAATGAAATTACTGGCCAGGCCTTGACAAATGTCTTTCTCTCTGGCAGGTAACTAAAGTGTTGGGGTACCTTTCTCCTTTTAATCAGAATTATTCTCTCTGTCCCGACATACTCTTTTCTTCTGGTATCTCAGTCATACTTTCCTTTGACCATTTATATGTTTGGTTGATCAGAGCTTATCCATTGGTTTCTACAACTTCCCCTTCAGCTCTGGATCAAATTAGGTCTTGAATCCTCTTTGAAAAGTGAGTCACTGTGATCTTCTGAGAGGAAGGTGAGCTTTGGTTACGGACAGGTCAAGGTGTCTGTCCCTAGGAGCATGATCCTATCTTCTCCTCATGCAGCAGTTGTTGCATGAAATCCAGAGGAAAGGAATAGAAAAGGCCCTAGAACATTATGTGCTAAATAAAGTTCAGTTCTTTCTCTGTTTTTTTTTTTTTTTAATGGTTTCCCAGGGGTGGTAAGAATCTATTGACTGTAGCTAAGTCATTTCATCCATTCATTCAACTAAGAGTTACTGATTAATGATTATGCCACTCTATGCTAGTTATTGAAAAGTTATCTTAGTTAATGAGGTCATTATAGTGGGTTGAATTTTTGCATAAGCTAAATAATGTTGCTCTGTTTTATAGCCCCAAGACAAATTCTTAAACTTGTAAATGTGTTATCTATTCCTGAACACCTTAAAGCCCAAATCCAAACAATAATGGCACAGTATTTAAACCAGGGAAACTTTCTTTATCATATAATTATAGTTCTCTCCTTTATAATCTTGATCTTAGAGACTTCATTTTGTCAAGTACAATGATTAACTCCTATTGATCACTATTCCATCACTAAAACAAAACAAATATTTACTGAGCTTCAACACTGTACTAAGTAGCAAATAAACCATGATACCTGACCTTTGAAGACTCATCATTAAGTGGAAGAAATATACACAATTATATAACGAAACCGTGTAGTTAAAATACTGTTTCCCAAAAATATGATTCAATTATCACCAACGGACAATAAAAGCATTACCAATGGCTGACAATTTTTAATTGTAATAGTAATCTTTATAGTTTTCATTTGTATTACAAAACCACAGCTAATCAATCAAACCTGTGATTTCAAAAATTATATTGCTTACAATGAGGCTAAAGGAAGTTGTACGATATGTTTTAACACCTTATACAGACCTAGTGAGAGATGTGGGCACACCCCAAATATTTTAATAATTGTATCTATCTTCACTGTTCAGACCCGTGGCTGGTTTGGATGCTGTGAGTCACAGATGTATGTGTCTGTGCATATTGCTGCTTTATTCTCACTACATTGAAATCACAAACAGGGCACAACTGAAATCTGAGAAACTCCAATCTAAAAATCATTAATTTAAACCTCTATAATCAGTGTTCCGGGTGTTTCCCTAGGTCAAAACCTATGATATTGGGATGGTTAGTAGTGGTACATTTGGGTGTAAAAAAGATTGACACACGGTACTCAAAGCAAGTGTTCTCTACCAGGTGAATGCCTGAAACTGCCCCTCTCCTGTGACCTCCAAGCTTCTGTCTTTCCCCTGCCCTGCCAGGGAACTAAGGCTTCTCCTCTCCCGAACTCTAGACTTGAATAGTTTTCCATCTTTTCCCAGCTCCCAGAGTCTGAATGTCTGAAGGGTTGAGGAAAGTCCCTTGCTTCCCCTTCAACTAGTGTTGCAACCCTACCCCTAAGTATGGAGTTCAAGGCCATTCGACTTGCTCCTTCCCAAAAGGGAGCTCCTCTTCTGCTTACTGTTTGCCAAAATAGATCCAGTCCTCTGTCCCCTTTTTCTACCTGTGCTGAATGTTGAGGGAGATGTGAAGATGGTCAGATATGGTCTCCTAGTGGAGGAACTACAACTTGTACATACTGAATGCAAATTCACTGTAGAAGGGGTTAAGTACAGCAAGAAAGAAATGGAATGCAACTAGAGGTAAACATTATTTATGAATAAAAGAAGAATTGTAGATAAAGTATTCTAGAAGTATTTTCAAATGGAAGTTCCAAAAACCAATTTGGTAGTATGTAACAAGAGACTTCAAAATGACCCAGTATTCCCTCTTCCAGAATCAGCCTAAGAAAATAAGCAGAGATGTATTCAGTTATGCAAGGATGTTTATTGGAATACTATTCATAGCAAAAAAAAAAGTGAAGTGTCCAACATAAAGGAATGGTTAAGTAAGTTTTGGTAATCTGTAAACAGATATCATGAAATAATTTTTTTCAGTGTTTGGGAAGAATATTTAAAGGAATACCAAAATACTAATTATATGTTAAGTCGAAAAAGTAGGATATATAAATGTATAAACACTTGATCCAAATTTCTTTTAAAAAGCATATACAGTAAATACATGTAAGAAAACTATTCACAAGAAATACAGTAAAATGTTAATACTGGTTATTTCTGGATTATGAATGACTTTTTTTTTTTCTTACTTTTATTTTTACTTTTTATTTCCTCTACACATTTTCTACCAGCCCATATATTATATTTAGAATAGAAAAGAAAACCTGTAGTTTAAAAAAGAAAGTTAGAGAAGCAGATGTGCTATATGCAAATGAATATAGTTCTGAAATGAGCCCTAGAGGCATATATACACACATGTATACTTATTCCCTGTCTACGATTGCCATAGAAAATAAACAGCTGATGAATCTTTTTTTTATTATTGATTTTAGAGAAAGGGAGGAGGGGGAGAGAAAGAGAGAGAGGTTGAGAGAGAGAGACATTAATTGGTTGCTTCCAGAACTGGAGATCGAACCCGCCACCTTTTGGTGTACTGGACAGTGCCCCAACCAACTGAGCCACTCCAGCCAGGGCTGATGAATTTTTTTTTAAGTAGGCACTCCTTTTAAGTGGTTGTTTCATATCTGAAATGCTCCAAGAATAAACTTTAGAAATGTGACACCCTGGGACAAAACTGCAGACCACTGAGTTTCTATATAGCCCCTTCAGAGGTACAATATCAGACACAAGTAGAAGGGGGTGAGGTGGTTGCATCCCTGATTTAATTAGATCTTATACGTTACAACTTCAGTAGCATGTCTTACTATCACCTAAAGAAAAATACAAAAAGCATTTGTATTGAATAGATAGATACATAAGATGATAGTTAGCCAGCTAGACAGACAGACAGATGATAGGGGGATTTGGGATGACTTCTTGGAGGAGATAGGCACCGAGTAAACTTGGAAGGATGAAAGGATGAGAAGGACTTGGACTCGCAGAAGTATTTTAGTGGTGAGTATAGTGTGAACAAAGGCTGGAAGCAGGAGGACATGGCATATTTGGGAAAGGACTAATC